TGAAGGAATAAAAGAGAATATGGATAAAAAAGAATGGAAGAACAGCAGTCATTACCCCTTGGTACATGGTCTGTTGGAGATCAAAGTACACGTATCCTGGGTCATCTAGAAACTTGTGAACCTTTGAAGTCTTGTCCTCATCCAGCAACTCGCATCTTGCATCTTTCATCTGGCACGCCTTACAACGACAATCGTGGACACAAGATGAGTAGCACTTGACCGGATTATCAGTGGTGATGTTGTTGTAGGAGTATCCCTTGAGATGTTTTCCATGGAAGATGTCTTGGGGCTCTGGGAAAAGTTGTCCCGAATAGCAGGTGCCAACACAGTGAGATTGACTTGTGACGTAAGCGGTGCAAAAAATATACCACACAACAATGAAAGCTAGTTTCATGTTTGCGTCTCTAACGACCAAATAACTTTTGTCTGGACCTGAAAAACAGAATATGAACTTAACCAAAGAAAGATTAATAAAGAATGATAAAGATTGTGAGACGCGAAACGAGAGAAGAAACTTGTTTATGGGAGAAGCAAAGAAAAGATAAATATTGTAGGATGGAAGGGAGGAGAAAGAAAGAGATTATGTTGCAAGAGAAATGACGTGATAAGGSCAATGAAAAGAAAGAGTTGGGAACTATAGAAGATGGAGAGAAGAAAATGGTGCTTAGGATAAACAGCGGAAAACAGCGAAAACTGGAGAATTAACTCCATACAGACCGTAAGGAGAGAGAATAATTGGTTGGCTGAACGAAAGAGGGGAAGTATTTGGCGGTTCCTGTCCCTTCGATTTCAAAAAGTCGATAAAGACTTTCTTAGTGAAAGTTAAAAGTATGTAATTCTAAAATTTTCCTTTCAATGAATACTTACTTGAAGATTTACACTTTTTGAKCTGTTGAAGTGTGTAGTTCCTTGAGCTGCTCTGCACTGATATTGACTCTCAGAGGAATGTTAGATCTCTTGGTATTGTCTTGCTATATTAAAACTTCATTATTTTTCACTGAAYGGATTGCTTTGATTGCCACTGGTATCGTGCTGTCTGGATTATCAATGTTTTTAACTTTTWCTCAATACCTTTTCATAATTTTAGGTAATTTCTGGAAGCTTGTAATKAAATTGTTTGGATTCAGTTTTCTTTGGGYGTTATTGTWAAGACATAACACAGTGCTACACTTTAACAAGTTTGAGGAACCTCTAGTTYGTTWCAATGGCACATGCTGTGACTTCGTAGACAACAATGAAAACTAATTTGATATTTGCGTTTCTACAGACTAAATGACTTTTGTCTGGAGCTGAAATACAGATTGAACTTAACCAGAAAAAATGAACTTTCTTGTCTTTCTTTCTTATTAGCTTTTTTYCCTACTTTTTCTAAGGATWGTTTTTATTAGTATTAGCGTCACGTGACACGTTCGCGCGATCATCACACATATTTTCMAACATTTTYACTCATAAAAASGTGYAAATACAATTTCTAAACTAAATTATTAGCTCAACCCTTTTCTTTTTGTCATTTTAATGSTCTTAACCGAGAAACAAGATTGACATAATTCTCTTTTGTCGGGCCGCAGGGGTTGATGGGTAAGTAGATGGATCAATGAATAGCTTTCGAATGAAAAGAAAATGAGAAAATACTTCAAGAGGTTAATAGGAACTCCCAGTAAAGAGGGAAGTGTTTAGAAAAACCAAGAACATAAATGTTACAGAGAAAAGCTGGAGCTATACATTTTATTATAATACAAATAATGCTCTGAATTGGTGACTGAGAAAGAAATTCATAACAATTAAAAATAATCGATCAGGGACGTTCCATAATTACTTTTTTTCAGTCTGAAGTGTTTTCAATATGATTGGATTACAAAGAAAAGGAAATAGTCCTCTCAGCATGTATTGAAAGGAAATARTCACAATGAGTAATTGTGCTTCATGATATTGCTATATATTTTGTTTATTGAAGACTATTTTGATTTTTGAAAGCAGCTACTTGATTGGGTTAATATCGACATGATGTCTAGTATCACTGGTGGAAAGTTTTTACTTAACATACCTTATTATCAATGTGTGCCTTTATGCGATGCTCGCTTTTTGGACGGGAATGAAAACATACGTGAAAACCTCTTTTTTCAGTTGATAAAGTAACAAAAATTCCAAAAATAACTTTTGATTCARMTACAAGCAAACTGGTTTACTGMTAATTAACAAATTGGTCAACATCTTGGCAAGTTAAGGCTGTCAGGAAGCAAGAAGGAGGATGTAAATTGATTGTTGTTTTTACCAAATGACATTTGGTGATCACTTTCGTCGGAAACCATAAGAAACACGAAAGAAAGGCTGTTTTCTTATGTATCTTTATTATAAAGACTGACCTAAGTTCAACATGGTGAATAACTCTTCATTKATTGTATCGTCGCCCAATATGTGTTTCTTTGAAGATGTTATGATGCATTACCCGTCCTATGTATTTGGTGCAGGTGTTTTGATAACTATTCTTAACATAGTCTCTGCACCAATTGCTGTATTGGGTAATTCAGCAATTATTATGGCTATCTTGAAGACCCCGGATTTACACAATCCATCAAACTTCCTCATTGGTAGYCTTGCTGTTGCAGATKTGATAACTGGTCTACTATGCCAGCCGCTGTATATCACCTWTAAGATAGCTGAGTTTTACAAACGTTACGAGACATTGTGCATTGGTTTAATGTTATCTTCCGTGTCCGGTTGGGCCGCTTCGTCTGTTAGCTGCGCTACGCTGTGTTTTATTGCTATTGAGAGATATCTAGCATTACATTTTCATCTTAGATACTATCAGATCATTTCTATAAGAAAACTTATTGTACCTGTGGCGTCTTGTTGGGTTTTCTTCACAGTGCTTTCAATCTCTCGCTTCTTTACCTCCAACRATTTAGTTTTTACGTGGATTTCAATGTCGAGTCTCGTTCTCATCTTAACCGTCATATTCTCAACTTATGGAAGGGTTTACAAGATCGTAAGGCGTCATCGCCGTCAAATTAAAAGCCAGGGACAAACATCGTTTTCTGGCTCARCACSAACACAACTCGTGGATAAGATTCAGTTTGCWAGTTAYCGTAAATCCACGTACACAATGTTTATCATACTTGGTTTTTTCCTACTAGCTTATGTYCCTATGTTGTTTGCTCAGATATCTCAACAAGTCGTAGGATATGTRTATAGTACAAAGATAATGCATGAGRTTGCAGCTACTACAGTGTTTACAAACGCTGCTGTTAATCCTATTATMTATTGCTTACGCATGCAACAACTTCGTCGCGCATGCGTGAAGCTTGTACCGTTTTTGAACAGAGAAAAACATGACTTTGTCGTCCGAGGTGAATGGAGCACAAGGAAAAGAAAGATACATGTACAAGAAAGACTTTAAACGTATCAATTGCCATATGTGTATGTAAGCCTCTATAGAGTCCTGTGSCKAGTTTGGRGCWRGGGTAGTGGCTTGTYATTTATTATAGGCTGTGCGGCAAATAAAGGAACTTTTCAAAATTGCTTATATCGACACGAAGACTAGTAGAATAAACATACAAAAAATAATGCAATTTATCATAGTAAATAGATTCATGTCCAACAGAGCTTGTACAAATAAACAACAGTTAAACTAAAAGCAACTTTACTTAATACTAATCCAGATGTTTTTTTATTAAGCCCAAAAATATTAATAAAACTATATCTAAGTAATGTTTTTTTTATAGTTTTCTGTATATAACTAAAGATGATAACCCATTCTATTTCTAATAAATACAATTAGTTACAATTTAATTTGTAATAAGTCTTTTTTTTTTGAAAAATTGAAGTGTTCATTATCAGATTTGATATAGGCCATGCAATACAATTGTCTATTGATAAACTAAGCTTAAAATCAGCCGTGATTTATAAAAATTGTCCATACGTCCTAAAGCTGACTCACTATATATCAAATATAAATTATTGAGTCGCTATTGGCCAGTTATGTTAGGGACTGGGGTGAGGTTTGGTGCSCAAAGGCATCTGGGATCGCAAGATTCCWTTCATYATTTTCTTTGRTTTTACAAAGTAATGAGCCCAAATGTCTTTGTGCATGCTCTGTGAGCTCATAGTCACCGCTGACCTTAGGTCGTATTTATAAGTTAATTTGTTATCTATGTATTTTTAATTTATAAGTTAATTTGTTATCTATGTAAGTTAATAAACCTATTATTCGAATTAAAATGCGTTAATATACCTCTTATATTCATTAAAAAAAACATAACTAGTACTGTAGCAAATTATATTTACCCCATGCATTCCCATGAATCTTAGCGGTGCTGTTTTATGTCTTATTGTAGATGTACATTTATGTTAAACTGATTAACTTTGGTTTTCCGATGACCACGCCCGTCTATTCGAAGTTCTCCCGATATTATTCATTTGATTATATCGTTATAAGGTATTTTTACTGTCTGAAGACGATCTAGTTTACTGCAGATCAGGCAACGAAGAACCGAGGTAAACTCGCAGGGTGGCCACCGAAGATTTTATTARCTTGCAAGGGATTGTTGAGCGATCCAGTCTTTTGAATGCTTCGTATCGATGGTTACCACCAAAGGCGTAGTAATAGTTCCCCCCCTGTTTGCCTGTGACCCAGAGAACATCGATAGGGGGGACGAGGTCAGAGGTGTTTGGACTCTGAAAGTAAAAAACAACGTCCATTTTATTGGTGATGATAATGATAATGATAGTGATGATGATGGCGATGATAATGTAATACAATACCAATACAAATTTATTCTTGGATTTCACAAGACGCTCTGAAAATTCATGGAAGCCAATTTGATTTGAACAATTCTGTATATGTCGTCATCGGCAAGCTTGAYTTGCGTTATGTAAAGTTAAAGACCCACTTGTACCCGAGGTGCTTTGCGATTGTTTTTTAAACGATCTCTTGTTGAAAGTTGCTTTCGATTGGTTTAAAATGAAAGGTGCCAGTTTCTCTTATTTGAGAAAATCGAAAAAGGTTCTTAGATGGTTTTCGTGGGTWTGAAGTAATATGTTTTGAAAAGATGATATATTTATAGAGCATTTAGAAATACAATTGACGTTAAGCATTGATAAATCTTTAATATGGCTTTGCTGTATGCAAAATATAACGGTCAATACTTGGTATTCGCCACCCGTAATYTAACAACCACAAAAATCGATTTAATTTGCCTCAGAATATAAATCAACAGCTCGTCAATACTGCCACAAGTGCGTTTTAGTTGAATTTTGATTCGCTTGATTCAAAASATTTGTTTATACAAAGCCAAGCGAACTTGGAATTGAAAGCGTTATGGCACAACTTCAGCGTCACTTTGGTGATGGCGTCTTGGCTTTATCTTCATCACTGTGAATTTTTATTTCGTTTTTATATAACTAATTCATAGCTATGTTTTTCAATGAAAGAATAACCTTTAACTGCCGTAGTTTTCGTCTTTTTGAACTTGCAACCAGTTGAAAATATGAGAACAGTTTGATTGCACATACAATTGACATATAATACAATAAATATCTAAGTTTTAGATATTTTAATCACTATTTCGTTATAACTAAGGAATAAAAAGTMTCAAAATATCACAAAAGCTTTGGCACTTGAAAATCATTCATTGGAAATTGATACTAAGGTTTAAACATTGGCTTGCTTGTTGGCTCCCACGATAACGCGATCAGAAAATGTCAAACCGTTATTTATTTTGTTTGCAAACTATATAAATTAATCAAGTTTAACCCTTAAAGAATATGAATAATGATATTTTTTTCAAACGTTTCTTGTACTTTCATCATATCAGTATTTAATATAAAGAAAAAAAACTTCACTTTGGAACCGAGAGTTCAAGAGATTTTCATATTTTCCCAATTTTCATGTGTTTCTTTTTCAAGTTTTTCCTTAGAAATTTAACTAAAAGAAACCAAGTGCTGTGCAAAATGCTAATTGTAACATTTTTGTACATTCTAGAACAGTATCAACTGCGCAATATCATGTTTATGATTTCAAAAAACCACTCAATTGAATCTGAGCTCATGTAGTCCTTTTTAGGACAAAACAACTGAGATTAACCTTGAAAACTCATACGTGCTTTGATKAAATTGTTTATCTTATTTTATGAAAACTCCGAAAGCTGGAGCTTTTTTATTTAGTTTTTATTTGGCCATTTATTCAACATTTGATGCATAATTCACTCAGCTATAATTGAAGCTTTTTCATTGATATTAAATTGCAAATCTTTTTACAAGAAATCTTAAAGACTYACTGGCATTAATGTTAAATGTTATTATCAAAAAAGGTCATTTAACACTTGATATGCGGTTAAGAAAWAGAGCAARCTATKATTTTRAYGYWTTGTTTTTCCTTTACCTTTAAGGTTTCCATCAGTGAAACAACTTTCCTTTCTTCTAAAGCAGCCTCAAAAGGTCTTATRAGYACACCAAGAGGAACGTCATGTACTTCATCAATACCAGCCGTATGAATGCTGCTGTATCTACCATTCCTATTTGATCTTAAAGCTGAATGTACGTTCCTGATATGCATTGTACTAAGAACTACAGCAATAGTTGTAACTGTTTGTAGATACATCGAGAACTCTGATCACTTGCTTAATGTTTTACGTTCATACAGGTTCTACTCGTGCCCAGATCACCTCGGTTAAGAGTGGCGTTGCTATGACGTAGAAGGTTACCATGGTGACCAATGAAAGACGTTTTTATGGCCACGTCTTGTAGTGAGTATTATTTATAATTTGAGATTTGCTAATTAACGCTTTTAAATAAAGTATGTCTGTCTTATATAAAGTAAAAAATGGCAGTTGATTTAGTTATTGCAAAGTAAGAAAATTTAACATAACAAAGCACGAGGCATGCGTCGAATGGGTTTTGTTATAGTCATTTTCGCTGTGTAAAATAACTACTAAAAAGGTGAAAGAAAATTCCGCAAAAAGGTCACTATTAAGAATATGACATAATATGTTAAATATTCATCTCTGCGCTTTAATTGTGACATATCCACTAAACCCAAAACAGGTTGTAAATCCAACCTCTATKTTTGACAATAAGCGCGAAGTTGCTGCGCGGAATAAACGATTGATGAAGATTTCTTTAAATTTTATTTAAAGGCTTAACCAATGATTCTATAGTCGATTGTGAAACGTGCAATATTTTATTTCACTGAGTGTGTTGTTCAAAGCGCGAATCCTCTATTTCGTGTACTCATTTGATTCTGGCAAGTTCACCGCATTGTCAATGCTATTGCATATTCAAACACTGGAAGTAGTTCCTAATAACCATTCTATAATGAACGCAGAAACATGAGCCAGTTATGGCGTGCATTTCTTGTACTACAAGTGTTTTAGTGTTAAATCTTGAAATYATAAAATCTTTTGAAATTTTTCAATCTATAAAAACGACGATAATATCAAATTAAAATAAACCAATTTTCATTGAAAATGTCGATTTGATTTWGTCTTTGCTAAATGTTTACTMGTTGCCTCCTGGAATTTYAGTTTTCCTTTGTCCATAAYTTTSTTATCGAGYTTTTTGTACATTATTATGCTACATTTTTCAGGAAACTTCTTTTTTGTTTATCCGCACTATAAAAGTCCTTTTAACTCTCTTTTCTTTTTTATCTTATATATTCGGGTTTGCATGYGGAGATGCTTCARTCAGTTAAAGTTGTTTTCGTTTAGCCGCTCTGTCACTGACTCTTTTCTTGATTTCTTTAGCGCACTCGTCGGATTTCTTGAAGCTTTTCTCTGTGTCGAGCAGACGTTTTAGTTTCCCAATTTGTTGTCTATTCGCTTTGTTCTTTTGTTTTTCTTTGTTTAGTTGRGTTTGTAGCTCACTTTGCGTGACAGGGACTTGTTCACTTAGCTTTAACAATTTATGCTTGATAAATAATTGAATTATTAWCRCTAATTGTATTGCAATTAGCAAGGCCGGGAGGTAGTACTTCAGAATTAAGGAGGCTGCAAACGCTGCACTTCCTGTCGCTGCCATGGCAATGAGCTTGAGTTTAGGATTGGTCYTCTTAGGGAKGTTTGTATCGAYGTCTTGCAAGGCTCCAGTCTCCATCGATTGTGCTTSGGCAGCAATGTCTTCAACGGTTTCGTTGATGTCCTCAACTGCTTCCGAGTTTGACAACGAATCRGGTTCGGGAAGTTTTCGGCTCATTTCGACAAAYAATCGCACCTTCTCATCGGCTTTTTCTTTAGAGACGTTTTGAACAGCAGCTTTAAGCTCGGGATCTTGGTTTTCTACGAGATTTTCTTCGTGCATTGCGCGACGCATTTCCTCGAGCTCTTTTACTTCAATGATCATCTTAGCCAGCGTTAGTGATTTCGCTTTTCTGCTGACATATTCGTTGTCGATCTCTCGTTGCATGATCTCCATTGCTGCTTTTTGTGCTTCGACGACATTGTGCTCTTGTTCTAGTAGTTCAGTGATGTCTTCAAGCTCTTCGTTCTGTTCCCGTATGACCTCTCTCTCGTTGACGAGTTTAGTTTTGATAGTTTTAATCTTGAACCATGAATTAACAGCAAATAAAGATACAAGAAGGAAGGCAGCACAAGGAGCAGCTGAATGCAATGTTGTCAAGTAGTAAACACCAACACTTAGAGCAACCCACARTGGCAGGGATCTTGGTCGGACACTTACCAACCCCAAATCACCATCACTTGTAGCTGTAGTGAACTTTTTGAAWCCAAAGAATTCCGATTTCGCCTCCATATCTCTTCTTCTCTTCAATTCGTCSACATCTTCTCTGAGTTTTATATACTCATCGAATGACCTCTTGTTCTTTTCTTGYTCCTCGAKTTTTGWTATTTCGATTTTGCGWATTGTYTTTTCCAGGTCTTCAACTTTTCTTTGTTGCTTGAATAGATCGTCAACTTCATCGTTTCCCATTGGAACTTCCTTATTTGTCATAAGTGATTGTAGCTCTTGACGTAGACTTTCCACTATTGTTTCGTCTTGTCCAACCAGAGCCATTGAGTGRGWYTGATCCRTTACATCGCCCTGATWCTTAACACCCATGTTTCGTCTCACAAAGTTTTCAATTTTCTTTCGATAAACTTTAACTTCTACARTCGAAAGGATGAAGAAGAGAGGCGTTACAACACATGCAAGGACAATCTTTAATGTTTTTATCTTCAAGAACTGGGGAAGCAGTCCTAACCCAATTGCTATGGCAATGTAAAGCAGTAACTTGACCTTCCATCCTGATTTAGGAAGATCTTTAGGATCRAGTGMACTTTGTTTTGGTGGTGAAATTCTTGCGATAAATGWGTTTGCTGAAACATTTRTGGCCTCCTTTGGAAACACTGGGCTGTCGGTCGCATCTTGACTCTCATTTCTACTATCAGCAAGAGGAATTGAGCCCTGGAGAGGCTCACAATTTGTCGCTTCAATAATGCGTTCCAYTTCGCCATCTCGCTCATTCGTYCTCTCTTCTCCATCTTSTTTATTCTTCTCTTCCATTTCGTTATCTTTASACTCAATGCCATCTGGTGYGGCGGCTTCTATTGATTTCGTTTCAGTGATRTTTTTACCATACATTTTCTCAATATGCTGTAAAAGGTTTTCCAATCTGTGGAGCTTCTTTTCCTTCTCTTTTAGTTGGACGGAGAGAAGTCGATGAATRTTCATCTTTCGATCTAGTAAACKTTTGTCGGTATGCTTGGCCTTGATTTCTTCGATGTAATGCTTTAGATTTMTAATTGTTGTTGMTTTTTCTGTCACTTCATCTTTAAGCGATTGAAGTCTATTTTCTAAATCTTTGTATAAAAGCTTYGCATCTTCTAAAGATGTATTTTCAGAGGGAAGAACATCTTGAAGTATTTTCTCCCGTTTTGCTTCATACTGAAGAACCTGGTACATGTTTCTCACCAAATCGATCGTCTTTGATTGCTCTTCTAGTTCTTTGTTCTTYTGTTTCAGAATGWTTTCCTTTTCTGTTTTCTCTTTGTCCATTGTASTTTGGATACTTGAAAGTTGTTCACGTAATCTTACGATTTCATTTTCTTTRTCTTTCGACATCGAAACGATCTTTTCAGTTTCAGCAGACTGTTTTGATTTCCCTCCATCAACAGTGTCATCTGCAGTGGAAGTCACGTCYTTGTTTTTAACTAGGTGGACTGTCTCATTTYTCTTTGAGCTTTGGATAAKACCACTYGAGTCGGACGTRCTGAAATGCGCAGGAGCGCYATCTCTTTTAAGCTGGTCAATGGTTGATGTCTTGATATCAAGCTCTGTCTGTAGCAACTGTCGMAGAAGGCGAGCTTTCTCYAGGGCCTTAATTGCTTTCCCAGCGCGGTCTTTGTGTTCTTCTGCTAGCAATCGCAGACGATCAACTTCTTTCTGTATTTCGGTGCTCTGTGTTGATGTATTGTTGTTATTATCTTCTAATGCCTTTCGAAGTCTTGCGATTTCYTCATCTTTTTGTGTTAATTCTACTTCCAAAGAGTCAAACTCATCTTCGATTTCTTTCAAGTGCAGTTTTGTGTCATCGGTTGGTGTCTTTTTATCATTACTTTTCTCGGTTTTATCTTTGCTTCGACGATGGGAATATGAGAGGTCCTCCACAGTTTTCTGCAGCTCTTTAATGTACTCAACCTTGTCGTTATGTTTTCGTGTTTTCTCCTTCAACTCATCGACAAGAATTTCGCGCTGTTTTGCAAACTTGCTGATTGTTTTCTCAAGAGAAGATGCAAGGTCTGCTTTTTCATGCAAGAGATTTTTTATTTCGATTTCGTTGTCTTTTAACTTAGTTTCCATWTCTTCCAATTGTTTTTTCAACTGTTGATTTTGCTCTAGTCGATCTTGCGCAAATTTGTGCTCTTCTTCAAAGTATGTTCTCAACATTTCTCCCTCTTCTTCCTTCTCCTTGATTTGAGCYTCCATTTTATCCATATTTTCTCTTAGTTCTTGAATAAATTGTTGCTGTTTGGTATCTTTGTCTTCTATCTCTTTGGACAGAACTTCGACTTCGACCTTTTTTTGCTCGTTTTCTYTCAYCATATTCGTGTAGAGAAGGTTAACCTTCTCAAAATCAGCCCTTAAGCTATCTGCATCTTGGCGTTTGAGTTCAAGCTCGCTCTCCACTGTYTTCATCAAACTCTTTGTTTCTTCTTTCTGTTGTCTTTCCTGCTCGGCTGCGCTTTCAATGTCTGTTAGTCTTTTCTGCTCCGATYTGAGGATTTCTTTTAGCTCCGATAGAAGTAAATCGTTTTCCTCGAGTTTATTTTTATATTCTTCTACGTTTGACATCAATGTCTTCTTTATTGTCAACTCGTTGTTCAGTAATGCTTTGAACCGGAGAGCATCTTTCTCGTCTGTGTAGTCGTAATTGCCGTT